CTACAGTCCAATCCAAGAGCCTACTGGGATACAAAATATATGTGCTCAAATTGATTATCAAGAACTGTTCAAATTGATAATTATATTTTTAATTGTAAAAGTTATTTTAAATAACAACTATTTTTATTATTATTTATTTATTTTTATACTTTTGAAAGTAAAATTAATACTATGTCATTATTTAATTTCATTCCATATTGTTTTAGATACTATAATTTATTAATATTTAAGAAAAAACTTAAAGAAAACAATGTATTAACCCATGTATCAGATGTTATCAATTTTTTTAAACATGGTAACTTTTCTTTGAAATACATTTTATAATTTTTTTGTTATTTAGCACCCATTCGTTAAATTTCCACCTAAACTAACATCACTACTTAGTAACTCAATTATTGAATCTCATTTTTTCAATCAGTATTTTTTTTTTTTTAAGTAGTGATGTAAAATGCCATTGAGATGAATTCAAAATTCAACATTTTTTAAACTTTATAATATTTGGTGCTAAATTTAAATAACAGCTTTCTCGTGCCTAAATCGAATGCCATAATTATATCAATATTTATTTTGTAGGACAGAACTGAGTAATTTATACATCTAAAAGATGTACTAATAATTTGTTTTAATTTCTTAAACCACAAAAACAATCAGATAGGTTTATGATATCATTGAATTTAATACATTTAATATTAACTTGTTCCATGTTATTTATAGTTTATTAAGAATACTACACCAAATATTTTATCATAGTAACAAAATTCATGACATGTTATGAAAAATAAGTTTGTATTTTTTTTTTCCTGTATGTAAATCAATACAATTTTTTTAATTTATCATTTTAATCTCAATTATTTATTTAGTAACTATCAATTTAATACTATTTAATGATACTATTATTTTGCATATATTTTTTTTTCTTACTATAATTTTTATTGTCAAGTATGCCCTCATAGAATGTAATTTTTACAAATAATAAATATATTTATACTTGGTATTTAATTTATTAAAACCAAAGTTAATTATGAATAAATTATTAGTAAAATATTTTAAAGTTAACCTAATAATTATATATATAAATAGCGACTGATTAGTGAATTTAAAAAAGTTAAAACACTGATAAATGAAGAATCATATAAAAGGAATTACATTCTATTAAGTTTGTTTTAAATATGATAAGTCTCAAATATAAATTGTATAAAATAGTCTCAGTTATTTTATTTTATGTTATAAAAGGTCTATAATGAATCATTCTTAAAACTAATATTATGAATGAATTTTTTGAGACTTAATTATTATTATCTATTTATGATCAATGAAATTGTTGACTTATTTTTAAGTCAAAGTATTAAACTACAACTTATCACTGGGACCAATGCTACAGCATAGTTTTTTACTAAATGTTAACTTTCAAATGTATAATAATACTTTTATAGCATAAAACATTAACACCAATACATTGATAATTTACATACATTTTAATTTAGTATAAATGTTGTTTATAGTGATTTTGTAATATGAAAAAATATATACAAATTTTTCTTTGAATAAAATTGTGTAAATTGTTTATACTTAACGGAATAAGCAGCACCAGATAGACAAGGTATTGCCCACCAATTTTTTTCATATTTTTCATTTGGCCTGTCCTAATACAATTTTCTAGTTTCGCCTATGCCTATTATTATTTATCATACTATGCAACTATGCAAGTAGGTATGGGTCTATTGCTCATTGCTCACACAGTCACACACCTCTATAACATTAAAGTAATACATACATACATAAAAGTAGTAAGATAACCTAACTATTGAATAAAAAATAAATTGAAATTTTTTCAGAAATAATCTATAAGATTGGCTAAAATTGTGTTCCTTCTAGTATTCCACTAAATCCATTGTGTAGCCCATAACTAAAATAACCACTTAATTCAAATATCACAAGATAATAGTCAAATTTTTTAACAGCAGTTTAACGGCAACAAGTATCAAACATTGACCACCTCATCGGATTACCAATTATCTACCTTGTAAGTTGTCGTCACCCTCCTCCCCAAAACAAAATGACTTCACTAACGACTGACGTTCGATACAATATTTTGTACTATCTTTACTAACAAATTGATTTTCTTGACGTTATATCAATATAATTTTAACGTTCGTAAATGATTTGTATTTTTTTGATAATTGTCGATTAATCTAAAATTCAAAATATTGAAATAATTGTGGCTTGTGCAGTCGACTAGTCTGGTAATCACGATGTAGATATATCTACTCCCATTTCGTGCCGTAGACGAATAGAAGGATATCCATAGAAATTTCTAGGGGGGGGGGCTAAATTAACTAAAATAAACTATATTCAAATAAAATCACATTTCACATGAAACCTGACAATTGGGGGTTGGAGGCTATTAAAATATTTGGAAGAGGCTAAGCCCCCCTCCCCATTTCCACCTATGGGTAGACGTTGCTTGTTTGCTTATTGTGTTCGATGAAAATACGGAAAATAGTTCGATTGTATTAAATTGTAGGTACTGGCCACAGTGATGTAAAATTACAAGTAATTTATTTTTGGGTAATTTACTTGGGTAAACTGCCGGTAATATTGGAAAATTTATTTATCATTAAAATAATTAGTTATTGGCTTATAATTTTCTTTGTCAGTAATCAGTGCTGCACGTAAACATCATATACATATAATATAATTTAATATTTTAATAATATATTATATTATACAGGGTGTCCCGTGAGGATTTACTCATTGCAATATCTCCCGAAAYATGGTGATATACTGATTTCGAAATTCAGGTTTTGTTATAAAACTCACTAGTCACAGGGATAAGAATTACAATTATTTCATATTTTAATTAGTTTTAATGTTTTGGTAAAAATTTAAAAAATATATTTTTTTATTTAATTACTTCCAAAAAAAATTAAGATAGCCATTTTGTAGAGTTTATTTTTCTGCAGATATTGAAGTTGCAAAATTTATTTTCATTAATTTCCTGATTTTTAATATTTTTTTTAGTTTCGAGAAAAATTGCAAATTATTTAACACTGTAATGTTATCAAACATATGACCCGCCACGCCGCCTGCATTCCCATACGACAGTCGAATACCTTCCGTGTTCCCATAGACATAATAATAAATTATTATTATGTCTATGGTGTTCCCACTATGGAGTTATAAATTATAATCATATTTTATTTCTTCAAAACTAGAAAAAGTATTAAAAATCAGGAGATTAATGAAAATACAATTTTGAAACGTCAAWATTTTCAGAAAAATAAACCCTACAAAATGGCTATCTTTAATATTTTTTGAAATAATTAAATAAAAAAATATATTTTTTACATTTTTTACAAAAACATTAAAATAAATTTAAAAAGGCGAG